TATTTATGTGATCGATTGTATATCGAAAACGATGATAATAATATAATATAAGTTAGTTGTATATATTATATCCAAATATATTTACTCGTATTCTTACTTTTATATTTCTTAATCGTATGTTGTATATTCGGAATGATCTTGATCTTCATAATGTCCAGTGTATCAGACAACGCTTTTAATTTTATTAAATTCCTTTAATTCCTTATTTATGGTCAATTTTCTCTTCTGGTTTGCCGGTTACAGTAGTCTTCATCAAATCTTCAAATCTTCAATCTGATTCCATTGAAGATAATTAATTGGATTATATTAATTGTTAATTGGATTAATATTCCACAGAATATTAAATATAAATAGAATAATTTTATATAACGTTATATCAAGATATAAGATATAAGATAAATAAATCATTCTTGTTTAACATAGAATAGTAAGATAGTAGTAAATCATTTTAATTAGCATTAAATCACTGATCCAGTTTCGGATCTCAGTTATTAATACAATGAAGAAATATTGTTACTTTTTTTCAATGTAAAGTTCATATTTAAATAAAAATATTTCTAAATTCAATGTTCTCTTATTGAATTTCAAACTTTAAATTAAATTACTTAAATCATTTTTATTATCATTATAGTGTTATTGATTTATAATGATAATCTATCTAGCATTTTCCACTGAATTATGCTTCTTTTAGATTTGGGTTCTGATAATTTTTTTAGCTAATTTTTTGTGATTGATTTCATTGCATTAATTAATATAATATGTAATCCATTAAAGTGAACAAAAAATTTTGTTCCTTATTTTTCGTTCATGTCAATGGCATTTTTAGCTCGCACATAAAGATGTTTTATTCATTTATTCACTGAATAAAATGATATATTGTTCATTATTATCATAAATTATAAATTAAAAATGTTTGGAATTAATTTTTCCTATATCTATTTTTCATTCTCTATGATAATCATGCTATAATAATCACCAGTCATAGTATTTGTCTTGAAAACAAATGAGGTCCCTTCCCTGGATCAATTTACTTTAATTAGTAGTTTTTCTGTGGATGATTATGTAATGATGCGAAAGGTTTGTTGTATTTTATATTGTATTATTGTGTATTTTTTAATATTAATGCTTAGAAACAAAATAGGTTATTCAAGCGATACAGCTATCGCAATAATCATCACAATATGTGATACTGTTTTATATAAAGTGATTTCTTATTAATAAAAATAATTGTTTTTATTATATTGCGCTTACATTTATTAAAAAAAATAAATATAAAACATTTAATATAGACGAGAATATTGGCGAGAATAGAATGAGAAAATTTTGATATATCAATGAATGTTTAATAATCTTTCTTTATATACAACTTAAAAATGCACTGATAATGTTTCTTTTCGTTTTTTATGCTCTGCACAAACAATACATTTCTGGCGTTCTATTTTATTCCTGTTGAATTAACATTTTTCGATAGAAAATGTTTTTCACTTAGTTCACTTAATTCACGAAATGAATTATCGTGAGAAATAATTCTTCCAGACTTAGATGTTTTACCAGATATTTGATATAAATATTTTTATTATACCGGATATTTTTCTAGAATTTTTCTGATAGTGAAATCATAAATGAAATCGAGTTGCAGAAATTTTAAATTTTCTTTGATCATAATTTATAATACATATATATAGTAAATTTTAAGCAAATTTGAAAAAAAATTTTTTATAGCAAACTTCGTTACGATTTATATGAGCTATACGATCTATATGTATAATGTACAATAAAATCTTGAATATATCCAGTTTTACAATCATAAAGAACAAAAGATTTTATTCTTCTTCTTTTTAAAATATATTTCTTCTTTCTTTTAAAAAAAAATATTTTTCTTTTTTGAACAATAATAATTAATTTTTTGTTTTTGCCGAATTATCCTTCGCAATCATACTAATTAACTTTACTGATACAAAACCTATTGATTGCCACAAAGAAGTTGATTCTTTCTTGATCCCACTTTTTGATCACACAAAAATATTTTGAATTATCTGTCTTTTTTATAAGATTTTATAGCGTTTTTATATTTATAATTATATTATGTTTATAACTTCCATCATAAATATTTTCATTCATCATATTGATGAATATTTAATTTTTTATAAATATATAAAGAAAACTCACCAATATATAATAATATAATAGGGATGTAACCATGATTTTATTCATAATAAATCATATAATACGTCTTCCTTAATCCTAATACGAGTTTTATTACTAAAAAACTTTTATTGTTAAAGATAATTAGTGATTTAGGAATAAGTAACGATGAACTAAAACGTACCGAGTTTTTTTATTTTTATTCCTGAGAAATTTCTTTCCTTATATAATACTTATTTTACAAAATTTTCCCAATATTTGAATGTAATTTGAAAGTATTTTTAAAATGCAGGATGTTTCATAAAGAATTTGTTATTGATATCAGAGTATCATTTGATAAGTTTTTTAAAAACTTACAAATTTAATAATTTTCTAAAATTTTCTAAAAATTCAATATACTTCTGTCCAGTTTGAGTACCGTTAATAAAATAAGGTCCAAATATTATTATTTATGATTTCATTAAATATTTATAATCTGTGATTTTTATTTACCTATCTTATCATGATTTTGAATTTTCAATAATATATAATTATTTGATCATGATTTGTAAAAGATACTTTATCGATAAATAGTATTTTCTTCAATATTTTATTGTTTTCATATTGTCAAATATCTCATTAAGAAAATTATAAACTGTTTTTGTCATTGCATATTATTGTATTAATATTTGTTTCATGTTCATTTGTTTTGAACAAATATGATTTTGTTAAAGTTTATTTTGATGATATTGCTTTGATTTGTTTCATGATTAATAATCTTACATTTTATATCCTTATTTTTACCAACATTATCAATTTCACGAAATATATTTTGATATTTTTATAATATTTAAGTATATATTAAATATACAAAATGCAATGATCAATTATGATTTAAAAACTTTATAAATTTTTATAAATCTATACTGTTTCTCTAATCTTTGTACTCCAAAAGTTTTTTTCTATAGAATAATAATAATTTCTTTAATTTTTTATAGGAAATTAATAAATGATGGATTTTAAAAAATAATAAATTTTTAAAAAACACAAAATATAGAGAATATTTTTTACAATAATTTAATATAAATTAATAATGAAAATTATAAAAAAAAGAAGCAATTAGTATAAAATAATTTTATATTTAAAATTTTCATAATTCCATATCAAATGAAATTAAATAATTCAATTGCTATTTTTCAATGTTTTTATTACATTATTTATATAAAATATTATGTTTTTGCAATGTTGATTATTTATGATATTTTATAAAACATTTGCCAAGATGTATTTTAAATTTATTAAGACATTGCATTTTATTATAATATTGCATAACTTTTTGCAAATATAATCTCGCGCTTCCATTAAATTTGATTTAAAACAGAACGATCTTTGCTTTTTACAAAGTATATGAAGTTTTTTTTTTCAATCGATATTTGAAATCTTTTTATATATTTAAAGAAAATTATTTGATATATTTATAATTATTTGATATATCATTGATTTGACGTATTTCAAGTGATTAGTAGAAAATGTTCATATTTATACAATACAATATACTTTATACAAGTTTATGTAAAATGTAGGAATTAATTAGAGATAAATGATTTTTATATGTAATATTTTATAAAATATAATATTTCTCAAAACAATCATTTATATATAAGATTTTTGTTCGTAAATGTTGCAATATTCAAATTTTTATTATTGTTCAATTTCTTGTTTAATTGTTTATCAATATCAGATATAGACATTCTATATAATTTGGTATCCATGTGTCATGGAATGGACTAATATTCATCAAATTTCTTGCAACTTTTATGCATTACAGTTTTTTTTTCTTTCTGATAATTCTTGATAAAGTATATAATTATGTATTCACTGCACATAATTCTTTTTACTTTATATACTTGCCTTTGTACTTATTATATTGAATAATTACATTTGATTTCATTTTATTTTCGCATCATTATTCATTTTATCATTATTTCTTTCATTTATGATATATAATAATTTCTAATACACTTCTGTCTTTTCTCAATAACAATATATTCTTTCAATTTAAACAGAAATTATTTTGAAATTGAGATTTTTCTTATTATTAAAAATGTGTTTCTGATATGATTGTTTCAATTATATAACATTTCAGTAATTCTAAATATATATTTGTATAATATTTTAGAAATATGTGGTGGCTTTAACTTATAAGATTCGAATCCAATATAGAAACTTTTTATAAGTATATTATAGATATATTATAATTATATACTTATTAAAGTCTATACTTTTATAAGTATATATTTTTATAAGTATATTTTATATACTTTTTATAAGTATATTATAATTCTTAACTTTTTTAACTTTTTTACAGAAAGATCGAATTGAATGATTCAAAATTAATTACAAATATCCATTCTTTATGTATTTGAATCTGTTAACACATACAAATCTTCCATTTTTTCAGCTTTTTCAGATATATAAATCATAAAGCCAATTCATTTTTTGAATTTATATGATTGAGTGAAATTTCATTTTGGAATGTCAGCAAGCTTATTGTCCACGACGAAACTCAACCTCGTATATATTCCAGTAAGAATGATAAACATAATAAACGCCATTTTTATCCCTAAAATCAGGTTTCAGATATTTTACGGTTTCGCTGCATTCATTGTATATCAAATTACACAAAATATTAACGTCTATTAGATATTTTGAAGTTGGTTTACAGAATCAGAATTATGAATAATTAACCTCTATCATATTCATTCGATCTTTTCGTCATAACAGATCCTTCTGCCGCAGATTTTTAAGTCTTTTTCTTTGTTCCAGCATCTTCTGTCTTCTTTCTTTCTTTGTGACGATCATAATTCGATTCCCATTCTGTGATTAACTGATTTAACACATTGCAACGGATATTTATGATTAGATACATTACAATTATAAATTAATGCTTTATATTGTTGCCATACGTGTCCCAATTCGAGACAGCGGTAATATTGCAATCGTTTGTTGAATTTGTCCATTCTATTCGCAAGCATCTTGTCGCCGTTTTTCGATTAGCGTCTATAAGATACTTGATTCAAAGTGTGTCAAGATGTAAGGAAATGTAAATCTTATCAGTTCTTTGGGAAGGTGATTGGCTCGCCTTAACAAACTTTCCTTCTGATCTATAGATCTATAGATCTAAAATTTGATCTATTTTATATCATTTAATTAATTATGGCTTTAACCTTTTCTATGTTTATCTTGATTTTGATTTTGATCTTGAAGATAATGTTTACGTTTATGAAACTCTGTTATTTGCATTTTTTCTTTTCTATTGCTAACTACTATTTTGGCACCAATAACTGTTCCTTTGTTTCATTCCTCGATCTTTTCAGTATGTATTTTCGAGATAATTTTTTAAACATTCTTCTTTTTTTGTAATCGTTTTTTTCATTTTTTTAATTTTTCGATTGATGCTTCATGCACTTGAAACATTGATTTTTTTAGATCTGGAAGCGTTCTTCTTATTATTCACGTTCAGGTTTTCCTTTTTCTATACTCATCCGTCTGTGAATCCTTCGAATCTTGAGATATTCGTACAATAATAAGTTCACATTTGAAATCTTTGTTAATTTTCTTGTAATGACTCTCTCCCATTTCTGCTCAATTTAGATTCCGATACTTTAGAGTATCGATCGATGTCCGCATGGCGATTCCTTTTTTTATTTTAAGTTGATACTCTGGACAGCAGAGATAGAAATAATTGGCTCTTTCGCCGAATCGCATCTATGTTCGCTCTCATTTTGGAGAAATAATCTCATTTTGAAAGTTTCTAATTTAATAGCTGAGCTGTAAATTTTATCTCTCAACCGTGATCTTGTTGAAGTGATGCATTGTTGCTGTAGTATTATATTTGTAGATACAGACTTGCCATGCGTAAAATTTACGTGCAGTCTTTTGGAGATAGAGTTCATTATCTCTATCTCTTTCACATTTTTTCATTCCTTCTCTCTTATCAGATAGATTCCTTTTAGATAATGATGCTAAGTCTCCGTCTTACATTTTCTCTCTTTGAAATTCTTTTTTCATTTGAGTCATACAAGATGTCTTTTGATCTGAGCTAAAATAATTATAATTATAAGACATTTTTTTATGAAGCCTTCTTCTTTAAATTCCGATTCAATGATAGAGGAAATTAATGTCAGAATCAGAAGTTTTCTCGTCAAATAGAAATGATCCTTCATCATTTTATTTCTTTCCTTGAGTTAAAACAATCGAAATTAACATAGTGACACGCAATCAAATGCTTTGCTCGTCAAATTTGGCTTTATTTGGATCATTTTTTCTTCTCTCCCTCTTTCCTCTTTCATCAATATTTAGATTTGGTTTTATAATATTTTGATTTTATAATTCGCCATACCCAGATAAGATTGAATACACTGGAGAAAAGAAACGGAGGATGATATTCCCGAGTTCGATAGATTCATTGATCCAATCGACAGTCTTTGATGCCATCAATTAGAATTTGTTTTCTTCGCCTGTTATAGTTTGGAGAGAATTAAGAATTTTTTATAGAGCTTACGATTCTCGCAATTAAGATAAGACTCCCATTCCTGCGAAATATGACCACAGGTTTACGGTATGCTGGATTGAAAAATTGCAATCTCTGAGGACAATTTAACTGTTAGTTTTTAAAATTTTTGTTTCAAGATTGTCGTTGGTTTTCATACATACTGTTTATTATGATTCGTTCAAAATATTTGGAAAAATATGAACGATTCCAGAAATTTATTTATTTTTCTTTCAGTTTGGTATAAAGAGATACATTATGCAGTATTATAATAGATTAACGAAGATCTTTAATTTTTATAGATGGAATTATATAATTTTATTATTATTATTATTAATCAATAAAATTGTTTACTAATCAATGAAATTCATTATTTGGTATAAAAAATTTAGTTATTTTTGTTGAAAAATTTTTAATTTAAGATATATTGTAATTTGAATTTCATATAATTTACATGAAAGGCAGAGAAAGCAGGAAAAGGAATGATAATTACTTTTCATATTCCTTGTCTTTCATATGATAAATTTTTGAACTTTAAATTACAATATTTCCTAAGCTAAAGATTAAATATATAAATACTTTAGAAAATAATAAATTGCATCAATTATAATAATCCATTTGAAAAATTGAAATTGATCTTCATATGATATCTCTATATCCATTTACAAAAAAAATTATTAATATTGTAATGTATTGTATTTTTTTAACTTTTATCTCAAACATATTTTCATATGTTTCATATTTTTTAAAATATTTGAGTTGTTTGAGATAAACCAGATATACTAAATATATATAAAAAATTATATAAAAAATTCTTAATTCTCTTCAAACTATATATAAGTGAAACATTCAGAAAATTTGAAAAAATTGTTCTTTTAAAATTATTATTAGAAAAAGAAAATGATACTGGCACTAATAATCTCTTATATCAATTTTTTTATCTTATTTATTATATAATTATTTTATTATATAATAAAACTTATAAACCATGTTCAATATGTAATTTGACATAGTTATATCCAATTATTGTAAATTGATTGATTTGCCAGATTGTTTTGTTTCAGAATTCTTCCAGATTTGTTTGAGCGATTATTTCTAATAATCTTTTATCGATGAAAAATACTCAATATATATATATTGGCTTTCTATAATCGGAATTATACAATTTGAAAAAATCTATAAATCAATATTTTTTGGACGGAAAATTTATTTTTCTTCTTCACACATTATGTCATTTCTGGATGTCTTCCATTTTATTCTTCCTTATCATGTTCAACAACATTACATATATAACTTATATAATGCCATTGTTGGTTTCCATGTTTAAATCTTCAATAATAAATTCATCATCATTGCTTGATTATAACCGACATCTATGTTGAATTATGCGAAAAACTTCGATTATAATTTTTAATATATATTAAGATATATATTAAGAAGTATAGTATATATATAATATATATATATATATTCAATATACATATATATAATAGAATAAAAATTTTATTATCTATAAATATACAAAAAATTATGCGAAATGATACGAATTATCGTCATTTATTTCAGGATTATATGTTGATCTCTCTTTAACCTGACAATTATTGTACAGCACAATTGTTCGTCAAACTTACAGAGTCTCTTCTGAGATGGATTGTACAGATTCGATATAACTAGATTTTTTTCATTAATTATTCTATCTGCCTTGATCATTACTTTTCAATGTATATCAATTTTCACTAAAACAATTAAATTCTTTTTGTAAAAATAATTGTTTCATGTAGGTTTATTGTTATGATATTGTTATTTATCCTCATAAAGGTAAGAAGAATATCAGTTTTTCTCTCTGAAATTAAGCCAGATCTATCCATTCATTTTTTAAATATAAATAATATAGATATATAATTAAATAGTAATATATATAATTAAATTCCTATTTTTTATTTACGATGGGGTTCAAATGTCTATATTCTAATTCATAACTTAGGAGGGATAGAATCAACTTTTATCGCTCTATACTTTTCAAAAAACATATCATTCAACTCTTTGAAGATTTCTATTTACGGTTTTTAAGACGCTCCATCGTAGCAAAATTAAGAATTTTTACATTGATAGTTAAAAGTAGTAAGTAAATGTTCAAAAATACATCTACTTTACCATTGTATTTATTGCATTGTTACTTATCAACTAAAATCAACTGGCTTATATGAAAGAAATAAAAGTTTATTCTGAAAGTTTTGAATTAATTGTTTGATAATGTGAAATTGTACTAATATTAAACAATATATTCGTAAGAGAAAAGAAGTAGATTGCTTCTATGTTTCTATCATTTTTAAAAATCTATTTTTAGAACAATTCTTGTTATTTTTTCTTGCTATTTTTTAAACCGATAAGATATCAACTTATATCTTAATATTTAATTGAATAATCGAATGAAATCATGTGCTTTTGCAGAAAAAAATGTCTTCAGGATCTTTGAAGAAATAATAGTCCGATTTAGTCTTGCTGAATTTTTAATTTTGATGATTAAAGCTATTTTGTTACTTATAATTAAAAAATAGATACTATTTCCATTCCATTTATCTTTGCATTTAAATTTATCTTGTTTTGACTTTCTTTTGAGTTTATAGCGAATCTTCTACTTAAAGTAAGAAAGAATTCTATTTCTACACTTTGGCAGAGATTTCTTGATTTAATTCTTTTTTTTTTATACTTCTTTAATCACTTTAGTTTTCTAAATAAATATTTTTTTAATAAGTTGAATTTCTAAAATATTTCATAGATAGTTTTTTGATTTTTAACATTTTTTTTGACTTCTCTATCTAAATAACATGTAAAATTGTTATTAATTGTATAACATCCGGAAGAAAATGGAACGATTGAGAAGAATCTTTAAATATTCTTATATTTATTTATTTTTTTCTATTTCTATTTCTATTTTTTCTTCTATTTAAATATTCTTCTGTTTACATAGGATAGACGATTTTTTGATTTTGAATATTTTTTTCTAACTTCTAAATGGTCTAAATGGTTTCACATAAAATTGTTGCTAATTGTACAATATCCGGAAGAAAATGGCATGATCGAAAAGAATGTTTAAATATTTTTTTTTTTACAATATCATCTATTTTTTATAAACTTTCTATCTTATTATTAATCCTACATCGTGACAGATTATCTTCTATGCTTAACATTACAATTTTCATTTAACTTTTCATGTGATTTTCGATAAACCATTTGGATCCGAAATTTCAAAAATAATTTTAAAAACAAAAATAAACCAAAATAATTTTAAAAATTTCAAATTTTAACTTATTCTTAATATACTTTTCCACTTTTTTGTTGTTATCCAATTTTTATATTTTTTTAACCCATTAAAATCTTTTTATTATATTTCTTAATAATGATTTTTTCATGACAACACACCTACGAAATCCTTCTGCGAGTCATCTCTTTATAGTTTTTTTCACCAAAATCTGTTCGTATTTAATTTTATTTATTTCTGCTATTACCTCTAGGACTTTTATTTCTTTTATTGAATATTTTTTTTTATTTATAATCATAATTATAGAGTTTTATCATATTACATGCAATCTTATTCTATTATTCTATTATTATTATTCTATATGCAATCAAATTCTATTTAATTCTATCTAATCTTATCGTTTTATTTTTTTTGCATTACGTCATAATTATTGCATATATATTGATCTTCTTTTTCAAATGTTTTTCTGGGTTTTTCAGTTCTTTTTATCAATGAACAAGATATTCTTATATTTAAGGTTTTTATGATACACATCACTTCGAAAGCTTCTCTTTTGCGCAATTTTTTTTATAGAATATTTTTTTTTTGACAAGATAATTATTTGGGAATGCGTTTTAATGCTTAATTCTTTTCTTTTTTTTTTTTTCACATTCATTATGTTTTTTCGAATATTGAAATAAATTGATCTCGATGGAATTGGTATCGATTGGAAATCGAGCTGAAGTTTTCTCGTGATGAATCATGATTTTAAATATTTATTATTCTATTTATTATTCTAAAGAACGCAAGAAATTCTTCTAAAGAAACGAAATTATCAATAACCGAGAAAATATTTGAAACTATGCACAAGCGATAGATTTAAATGCAACGTAAACAGATCGTACAGAATTTTTAATTATATGCAAAATTTAGTTATTATACTTAATGTTATTCTATTGTGAATATATGTATATTCTATGATGAAGTGTTGTTTAATATAATTACTGTATGATAAATAATGGGACAAAAATATAAGGAGATTTTTATTATCATTTTTTATGTAGAACCATTAAACGAAGAAAAATTTTTCATCTTCATTTTTTCAAAATCATATGAAGATCAATATTTTTTAAATGCTATATATATCAATTATTTTTTCTGATAGTGCATTCTTATGCATATATTTATGTTATGAATATGTTTTGGCATAAAGTTTTGCTGTTGCAAAATCAAAATATCTTTATTATAGTATCCAAGAATTAGAATTAACTATGCATTCACAGAGACATCATTTTTCTCTCACTAATCATTGCTTAATAACTTTGCATTTACCATTCAATAATTGTATTAAATGCTTAATATTATATTAAATTTATCGTGGAACACCTTTTAAATAATAAATTTTAGCAATTATATTCGATGCAATATTCAATGATCCTAACTTATTGTTATTTTTTGACAAATGGAACTTTACAAAATCTGTAATTATTTGTATAATCATTATTTCTGTCTCATGAATATGGTTCATTGTTAATAGACGAATGATATATTAAGTTTATGTCATTTAATTATTTGGACATGTATTAGATAAATCGAACTTTCATTGGAAACAATAGTTTCTCTTTAAAATAAATTATCTTTAAATAATTATCTTAAAAATATCTTTAAAATATTTTCATATAGTTAAATAAATATAATGATTTCAGATTGTTATGTTTTTTTGTCAAAGAATAAATCTGAGAATTTTGATAAATTGATTTCTGGACATTGTGTTTGAAAAGAAGACGGCTTCCCATTTTTTTTCTATAAGTAAAAATTTTCAATGATTTTGATATGTTTTCTTCAAGCATTCAGAATTTTTATGCAATTTTGTTTTTATATTTGTATCAGTTAACAAATGAAAAGCACTATTTAATTTATATATATAAAATATAGCACTATTTATTTAATATAATATTCTTTTTTATATAGACAATAGATCCTGCGATAGCTTGGATATTACATCTATTACTCGATTCACCTATTTCCATTATACTGCAATTTCATTCTTCTTCAGTTTCATTGATTATATTTTGAGATGTGTTAGAAATGCTCGGACACAGAACTCGAGAGAATATATATTTAAATATTTTTTTAAATACTTGTCTTATAACATTTGTCTTATATATCATAAAATATTATGAAAATTTTTCTTTTCATGAAGAAAAAATTTCTTTATCTTAATGAGTCCAAAAATCTTTGAATTATTATCATTGTTATGTTTATAAAAGTACAATGTTCTTTTAGTAAAGATTATGTAATTGTCAAAATTTAGCTTCACATAAATTTTATATATTATATGCAATTTTTTCAATTTTTCTTTATGATTCTTTATAAAATAAATTTTTCATTTTGGCATATTTTAATATTGTTTATCACGATATAATTTTTTATTTGGATTCATATCATTTTGATTGAACTTAATTCATAATGATAAAGTGGAAATCAAAGAATTGTTATATTTTTTGATTTTATTATTTCATCTTGCTAAATATGATCATATTGTTTTACAATATTTTATAATATTTTAATAATTTTTTAATTATCTTTTAATTATCATTTTCAATATGTTATAATGAAATGTTATTTATCCAGACGAGTTTTTTAATCTTGTAAATATTCTATTTAAAAATGCATTACGGAAAGAATATGTTAATATTATTAATATTTTTTTAAACGAAATTTGTGTATTCGTCCGGCATTAATTCATGTTTCATCCAAACAATATATTTGATGCTTAGTTTTGTTAAATTACTTAAATTATCTTAAATAATTTTTCTGATATATAGTTATTTCCTTTTTATTATTTAAAAAATTATTATATTCCTTTCTTTCATATTTAAAATTTATTAATATATAATTTTCACTAATATATAAAATATAGTTTTTAAATTAAATAGCATTAAAAAATAGCATATTAAAAAAGTAGCATTATTATTAATTAATTTTAAAATCTTTTTAATTGTTAGAATTTATTCTAATAATAAAAATTGATGAATTATCAATCTTATTAAAATTGTTTTTATCAAAATTATCTATTTTATTAAATATATTTTTTTTTGAGATTTTATTTTTTTTAGTGATAAGAGTCCTCTTTTCATTGTATATTCTTTGTATATTCTAAACAGATTTAAAACAAATCACAAATTAATATGTTATAATTAATAAAGAATTATAAATATGTTAATAAAATTATAATTAATATGTTACATAAAATTAAGTAATGCTTTTATTATACATTTTAGTAATATAATTTTTTAAGAAATTTGTACGCTATGTACAGCTGCTTTCACTGTATTTTTATTAAGCATTTTAGAATTATTTTTTAATTATGTTTGATAAATTTTTAAAATGATTTGTTTTTTGTTAAGCAACATTTGATATATTTTTTTTTTTTTGTATACTTTTTATAGGCAATATTTGATTGTTATGACATATTAAATTAATAATAAATTAAAAAATAATTTAATAATAACATTTCAATAAATTAACAACGATAACAATTTGACAAACAAATACGAAAATCGATGATAATATAAATTTTTCAAAGTTATATGTAAACGCATATTCAGATAGTAAGATAGCTGGCATTGCGGAAAATTTTCTTGTTTTATATAATTTAAGAAAAATAGATAAAAATAGATAAATAAAAAAATGAGACAAAGAAACTGAAAGAAGAAAACTAAAAATATGAAAAGTTAAACTCGTTCATATCTAGTCGCTAGAAAATTGAGAAAAACAATAATTTAAAAGAATTGAAAAAGGAAAAAGTTAGAACTAGAATTTTAGTAAAGATATAATAATAATTGCCATAGAATATTAATTTATTTTGTAAATATTTTGTAATAGATATGAAATTTAAATATAAAACAAAGGCACAATATAAGAAATATAGTATGGATAAATAAATCAAAAAAATAAGCAAAAATGAAAATAATAATAATAGCAATGTGTTTTACGAATTCGTTTTTATTTATCGTTAACAGCTATAGCTTTTTATATTTTATATAACAAAATATAAATGTTTTATATAACAAAATATAAATGTTTTAAAATTGGTGATTCGAATTGTTGAACGCATTATTAGTTTTATTGTAAAAAAATATTGACTGTTTTATCCAGTGGATAAGATTAAAGATAATTGATATATCTAATTGTTGTTTATATTTCGAATTTGTGTGATTTTATTTCAATGAAATATATACAAATCAATAATACGCTAAAATAACTGAAAATTAAATTGCTAGATCAATTAAACAATTGAAATCGCAAATTTTATAAAAAAAAAAGCGAAATGTCTCTAGATGTCATAATATAAATTATTTGACTGCCCTGGCCACACATTATATAACTTTATATTAAAATAACAATTGTTGTTAGAAATGACAAGTATCACTATATTGCTGGTTTTTATATTTTCACTATAATTTTAGCAAGGATATAGATATGATTTAATTTTAAACCTGATCTACATTCCTATATTGACTATGTCTAATGATGTTTGAAATTATTAACAAGATAATTGTGGAACTCATCATCTTATTAAACACATACCTCCTTTCTGGATGATTGGGATGGAATTAGAATGCATTTTGCAATAATATATTTAATCAATCTTTAGTACTGG